TTAGTTGTTAATAAGAACAGAAAGTCGAATCAATATGATAAAGCACAGGCGAAAGGTCTAGTTGGTTGGCTGTCTATTCCCAGCAGGGATGTGCGAGATTTTGGAAAGGACAACACAATATTAAAGTCGTCTCCAAATAAGCTATAAGTTATCAGCTTTTGGTGCTAATTTAAGAAACAACATCCTTCAAAATCAATTTTTCCAAATTTATTCCACTATTACTTAATCGTAATCGATCTACAAGCCAACTGCTTCGCAACGTTTATAATTGTTAACTTGATCTGGACATAGTAGTTTCTCTATGGCGATGCGCGTCACTTTATGATCATGATGCGAGGAAATGTCTTACTGGAATTCTCTGATTATTTCGTCAAAATACGCATACAGCATAGAAATCCGTACCTCGATTTATCCTTCCGGCGTCTTTTCGGTGATTGCGACCTGGATAGGGAGAAAGAAAAAGGATGAATAGACAAAAAAAAATTTTGTACTCATGCCATGAAGAAGTTTATTCGAAGTTTCTGATTTACTATTCGTTATCATCATCATCGTATCACAAATCGATCTCAAAATCTGTTTGGTAGTAACTTGTTGGTTGACCGTCTTTCAGGTGACCAGGGACGTGTGCTGAGGGAAAGATGTTTACCGTATCTAAAGCGTAAAAAAAAAAAAAAAAAAAAAAAAAAAAAAAAAAAAAAAAAAAAAAAAAAAAAAAAAGATTCGAACAGACTTGAAATCGGCGCATGTTTGAAACAAACCAAAATAGATGTAAAAAACGCCTTACTGTTGATCGCGACTTCTTTTTTTTCACTTTCTTGCTTTTATTTTTTTAAGCACCATCTTGCTCACTGGCACATACTCACCACACCCTTTGGAAGTGGCCGATCAACTGACGAAAGCCTGTGCACTAGATTTGGGCCACCAATCCCACTTTCCTAACTTCCCTATGGCAAAAAGGCGAGATGGTTGAAGTCATAATAGGAAATATATTTTTATGACTAGATATTTGGAGATACTTCGATTCTTTACATCTTAGCAGTCTGTTGAAGGTATTTCAAGACGACTGATTGAACTACGGTATGTCTTTATTGTAGTTGATCATTAGGGTTTGTTATGTCATGCACAGTGATCAGCGAAGAAAATGTTTTTCTGCTCATGTTTTGTGGTCACTTCGTTATGTTCTACGACAGGTTGTTGTGATCACTTAAAAATCTAAATCCGTAGGACTTCATGCGAAAACGCGCGAAATATTTCGTTTCGTTACCGATTTTCTACTTGTGATCGAGATTGTGCAAGCTGACATGATAGGCCTAGAAGCTCGTTTTTCACACGATTTAATATTCTTTGAATGTTAAGAGTTTTTTGTCAAGAATATCTTTTTCTATTGTGGGTACAGTCTGAATTTTTCTTGCGATATCTAACTTACTATTCTATCTAGGACACAATGAAGGTTCGTAAGGAAGTCAATTTTAATGTTCTAAAAATATTGCGAAGCGGTGTTCAACCGCTACATTTCCGGTTACATTTCCGGTTTCACTTTCGACTCTTGCTTTGTCGTAGTTGTCAAAATGGGTTTAAAAACACGTTAGCAAATTAATGTACAACTTTTGATCTTCTCCCTTCCCGTGAATGATACATCTGGAAGAAATGGTGAACAGACTTGAACAGTGGAATATTTCCTCTATCAAGGAGAGTTAATCTTTTGTTAATAGTCCACCGGATAAAATTAACCGAACTGTCCTTTGCAAGATGAAATGTAGAAAACAAAACACGAAAAAGTCCTTGACATCATTTTACAAGTTAATATGTACAGAATTTTCTGGAAACTTTATATCAGAATGGTCTAATTCTTCATATCGTGTCAAGTCATTTAACAAGTAGGAAGGTTGGTAGACTTAATGTAAGTGCCAGGGTATTTAGCTATAATTTGACAAAATAATTGTGGACAATGATAAAGTTTGAAAATAAAAAAAATATATTGCAGGAAGGGTGACTAATATGTGTTACCTAATTTTCCTACAAAAACAAAAATGTATACTAACAATAGATAAATGCTGTATAGGTGATTTAAGAACATATGTTGCAATTTTCAAAACTGTGTAGTCTCTCTTGTTAATGCTTCATTTAAAACTGTTTATGTGACACTTAGTACTTTTTCCTATGAAGATCTCTTACATGAAGAGTCTCAGGAACCTAGCCTATTTGGGATTAAATCCTCTCATGCACCTTTTGAATGCTGAATTTTTACCATAAATTTGTTGTAGTAATATTCAGAGAACATATGTATCATTTCTGAGAAAGAATATATTTTTGTAGTCATGATGATTCAATACAACTCTAGAGGAAAAAAATTTAAAGTTGATGCTTCAACCAAGAGTTGTAGGAGACTCTTGATAGCTAAGAGGATTTGAAGTCAGCTCAGTTTTTTGACTGAAAGTGTGGTGGCTGGCAGTTTAGTGCACATTTTCAATTGAAAATTTAAAATGCAGCTTCCAAGTATACTTGGCAAGGTCATGAGAATTTTGGAAGGAAAAATTGGTATCATCGATCCCCAAAAAAGTGGTTAAACATGCCAGCTATCATTTGAGCTTGTTGATTTAAGTATCTTACTGTAGATACAGTGTTACTTGTTCACTCATCCACTCAGATCTGCTGTTCCCTTTTACTTTGACAGGGTGTTTTTTCTCTCTCTCTTTTATTTTTACCTGAAATCAAATTCTGTTGATGTCTATGTTAAATTTTTGTAGAAAATATCTGAAAAGCTGAAATGTAAATCAGTTTATTTTGGGTTTTTAATGCTTTTAATTTTTTTTTTAAAGATGAGATTTGATTTTCTTTGCAGGCTCAAAAGTGGTGTGAAGTAAAAAAGAATGGATTGGAAATCTTTGCCAAATCAGTACATAGAATATCACTCAAATGATGCTAATGAAACCAGGGAGAAGGTGCTTGTGAGAAATTCTAAAGAATTCTTGAGCACTTCTGAACCTGGCGACAGATTTGCACTGGAAGTGAAATTTTATGACGATGTAGAAAGAATTGCTCAGAAATTTGAAAGTGATGAAGACTTCTTTAAAATGATGAAGGCTGGAATTAACAGTCTTGAGAAATGTGGAGTGAACTTGTGGAGGTTCCCCTGGTGTAAAGAGTACCACACTGTTAAGGTACCTTGTATGGAAATAGATGATTTTCCATGTTTTTTTTCTCTTTGGCAGTGATGATGAATGTTAACTTTTTTCTTTAAAAATAATGCATCACTTCTAGAGTTTAATCTGTGATTGAATAGTCTCTCATGGTAGTGAATGGGTTAGAGACAACAGAAGATTTGTGAAAGTCTGTTTTGTTTCCCATTGATAAAGTACCATTTCAGTAACATGAGTCTGCCTTTTGAGATGTGTATTTCAGGCGGCTCACAGAGGTTGAAACAGAAATATCGGATCAAAAGGCAAATTATAAAGTTCATTTATGAATATCATAGGTGAAAAGTCAGATTCAGAAATCATTATACAAAATTTTCGTTATCTGACATCTCACTTTGCAGATTCACCCAGTAATTAAGTCAGTTGTGATTGGTCA